GTTTTCTACACTCCAACGGGAAGGCATCTCTCAGTATATATGATACACTCTGAAGCACTGACCGGATAACTTTCTATGCAATTTGAATCCATGCTATCAAATCTCTTGAGACCTCATCTTCTTCATCCTCTACAAGAGTTCAAGCTTGACATTGGAAAGACTATACTTTCATATTCTTCAAACCAACTCATAGAAAGTTCCTCCAGTTCTTCAACTCCTTCGAAATCTTTATCTACATATTCTTCACAAAGCACGTTGAAGAAAACCTTTTTACTCTCAAAGATCTTCTTGTTTAAGAAGGAAGTCTTAAAAAAATGGGGATACTTCAAGAGACTCAGTGAAACAAGACCATTCATCAGGAAGCTTGGAAGAGCATCCCTGGTGACATCTAGGCTTGAAGGAGACATGAAGTGCTTCTTAAGTGCTAGGACTAAGGCGTTGTAACTTGATCTTTACAAGCTTAGTGGAACAGTGGACTAGAGGAACAAGTTGTTCCTTGAACCACTATAAAAATCTCTGGTGTCATTTACTTACTGCTCTTTAATTTTTGCATTAGATTCTAACTATTTACCTCTAAAAGGCTTGGACTTTATGTTCAACAAATCTTGCCTTAAGAGTTAACAGAAAGGCAACTGCCTTAGTGCGTTTATGAGGTTACTCGACCAGAAGACCTATTCCGCTCATGGTCAGCTCTGTGAAGAACTTGACCCTCTCTGTGTGTCTTTTCCTTAGGCGCGCGAAAACTTAGAAACCAGAACAGTCTATTCACCCCCCCCCCCCAGACTGTTCCATGTGTAACCGGGACCAACAAAAACTTTTTTTGTCAAATTTACTTCTCTCAAATAAGAAAACATGTTTCCTCACAATCCCCTCTTTTTTGCCTCCAACAACATACCTTCAAAGTCTCCCCCCCCCCCCTCAAACTCTCAAATATACCTTTAGGGAAACTTCCCAGAATATGACTAAAACATACGTAGTATTGAGTTTCCATAAATATGACTAACTTGTTTTTAGACATTCGTATGACAAAAAAGCAAAAGAAAAAATCTCGATTATATTCAAATGTTGAATGATGAAAATATCCTTGTTTGAAATACGTGCATTTGCACTACTTTCGTGCAATTATAATATTGCACCTTATACTGCAGTTATTGCATGAAATTACTGCACATCCAATATTGCACTTCTGTCAATATAAATTACCTTCTCATCCACTTTAGTAATTTATATATATATATATATATATATATATATATATATATATATATATATATATATATATTAGATTTATTAACTTTACTATTTTACGTCCAATTAAATATATTCTTTTTCATGGAAGTATTACTACACTACTGGTCATAATCATTGTACTCCCTGCCAAAATTGAAACATTATCTATTGTTTTCGAATCATTGTACAACACACTTCCTCAAATGCATTCATTCAATGCCTATGTACAACATTATCTATTGTCATGTTCATTTAACGCCTGTACTCAACACTGTCTATTGTCATGTCTCACAAATCTAATTTCAACAAACCTTAATTTCAAAAATTAGAAATAGAAGAACGAGAATGGATGTATAGCGGCTGGACGCTGGAGGTGGGCGTCTGGAGTATGGAGGCAGACAGCTGGGTAGCGGTGGCGAGTAACCATGGGGATGGTCGTGGGGAGCAGGCATAGAATCAGCAATGGCACATGGCGACAACGGCAACTACAGTAGGTGTGCAGACATGAGGGCGGACGCTGCAAGTAGGCATGTGAACGACCACGTCGAGCAGACATGGAGACAACAACAGCACATGAGGATGGTTGCGGCGCATGGGGACAATGGGGGCGCATGGGGGAGGGGTGACGCTTGGGGGCCGCCACGATGATGGGGGAGACGAGTGTCGCGGTGATGGGGGCAGCAAGAGAATAGAGGTGAACGACTAGTAGCAATGGTTTTGAGAAAATGAATAGAAAATTAAGGTTTTATAATAACAATCTAAGGGCATATTAAATTCAAAAAAATATTTATTTACTTATTAGATATTAGGAATTTAAATATTAATGGGGGGCTAATGAGGTCATATATTGAGCAGGTTAATGAGCTTTAATAATATCTAGGGTAATTTTCTCAATTCTTTGATTATCAATGTAAAAATATGTAAAAATTTATTTAAAAATACTCTTTGTACCGATCCAGTTCGGCACAGTGATCTAATTATACCTTAGTTCTATGTAACATGGTGCACCAAATATGTGGCCTCCAAATTTTAAAGTTTACCATAAAATACGTGAATCATCTCGTGCAAATGGTGTTGAGGCTGGTGGCCTACCAATATAGGGAATCTATTCTCTTTAGATTTCATTGAAATGTGTAATATATTTGGCATTTGTGAAATTTAGAGCCATTTGGGGATCATGTTTTTGGGTTTATTAGGCTTATGAGCCAACTTTTTCATCAAACTTTTGATCCAACAACCTCTATAAGAGTATTTTTGTCCAATAACAAATAATAGCTAACAGGGAAAACTGTCAAGTACACCCTCATACTATATCCAAAATAGCAATTATACCCTCCTACTTCAAAACCATCCAATCAAACCCTCAAAGTTGTAAAAAAAAGCCTCAAATAAGCTATTTAGCCGGTTACCTATAGGTTTGCCGGTCTCCCTTGCTAAACTGAAGTACGTGGCAGTTTTTTTTGTTGCAAGAAGTATGTGGCAGGTTTTAAAAATCGATTTCATTTTTAAACACAATCCACCTCTGACCATATTCCATGCACTTTACTTCATCCATATTCATGGTTGTTGCGTCCTAGTACGAAAAATCAAGCATCTTTAAACTAATATTTCAATGAACCCAACCAATTCCATTGCTTAATTTATTACTCATTTTCTCTCTTTTACGGGTTCAATATTTCACAATTGATAGTGGAGTTAGAATTTGGCTTTTGTGAAAAAAGCATATAAACATAAGAGTTTATACATACGGAGTATGTGTGTGTGGATAAAAAATCGGGACAAAAGATTTTTGTTGGCAGAGGAGCTAGGATTGTGAGGTTTTTTGGGAGACAGGTAGAGCTTTTGGGAGCCAGGAGTTTCTATTTTCCGGTGGGATTTACTCCCAATCTCTGCACCTGTGATTTTCTAGACATGGCGACGACTCTTAATGACCTATGGATCCACAACCGCAGGGGTAGATTCAGATGTGTGGGTTTCTTGAAGGCAAATTCGATTGAGATCTTCAGAAGCATGGTGAGGTGCGTGGGACGAGAAACAATGGTGTGAACAAAAGTGAGATGAGAGAATGGGCATCAAAAGAATGCTTAATTTTCCATTAAAATAATGAAAGTGCGAGATGGAATAAAAAAAATGAAAAAGTGACATATGGACTGCCACATCAACAGGTGACCGCAAAACCTATGGGTGACTGCCTAAATTTATTGAATTGGGTGTTTTTTACAAGTTAAAGGGTTTGATGGAGTGATATTGAAGTATGAGGGCTTAGTTGCCATTTTGCATATAGTACGAGGGTATATTTAATAGTTTAAACTCATATTTATGGAATTTTAAACATTGAGTTCTATTTTTGGAAAATGAGCATGTTTTGTGGCGTCGGGTTTTCGGCCAAAATAAAAAATAGATAGTTTGACTTTCATTATCTTCAATATAGATCTTTAACAACCAAAATTATTATAATTACAATTATATACAGCATATTTATCATTTTACAACCATAGAAAAATAATACTCCCTCCGTCCAAAAAAGATTGACCAATTTGACTTTTATTAGTCAATGATGTTAAAGTTTAGAAACTGCTTTTAGGTATTATATTTGTGTGTAATTTATAAATTTTTAGAAAACACTTTGTAAAAAAATGCTCATATAATTTTCATATTTCAAATAATTTTGTATTAAAAAATATAATTGGTAAAACTTGATCACCATTGACCAAGAAAAGTCAATTTGACTTAACTTCTTGGGACGAAGGGAGTAATTATAATATATCTATAATAACTATTCAAATTAAAAGAGAATTGACCGCACATGAAAAAGAAGAAAACAAAAGCAAAGGAAAAAATGAAAACATTAATGAAACAAATTAAACACTAAAACCCAACCCATTTCTAGCAGGACCCCCCCCCCTCCCCCCCCATATTTGAAAAAGTTGAATATTTCATCAAATGTCTATTGACGGTTAGGTGACTATACTTGAAACTATGTTTTCTCTCACTCATTTGGACAATTCGTGTGAAACGCGTATGTGACGACATCCCTATAAGTGTCATTACATTTTGAAATTTTGTGAATATTTCTTGTTCAATCTATTGATTTCATTTGTGTTAGGAATAGGTATCGTCGTAGGAATTTTGGACCCCTGAAGTCGATTCTTGGTCTCAGCTTGCGCCACATAACACAAAAGGAGCAACACTTCTCCAAAACTTTCTACACTACAAAATTGTCACTTCATATAGAGATAATGATTTTTGTCAACGTGAATGATGCTTATTTGTTAAGAAAATTCTCACAAAGGAAATATCTCCTATCCATGGAATGAGTTCGAAAGTTACAATATATCAGAAAATTCCAACATATTGTTGGTTTATTTCAACATAATATGCACAATCGATCACACACCACACATATTACTCAAATTATTAACACTACAACAAAATAGGCCTTTTGTAACACCAGCAAAATGTTACATTACATAGTTTAAATGTTACAAAAGGTTTAAGTAACACTTTTATGAGCGTTACTTCAGGTCTCGTTGCATAAAGTCATATGCAACACTTTTCACTATATTATGCAACATTTAATAAAATGCAACACTAATACTATGACTTCTTGCAACATAAATTTAGATTATGCAACATGTGTATCACTATTTTATGCAACAAGTTTCTCGAAATTGCAACACTTTTATTAAGTTATAGGTAACACTTTTCTAAGAATATGTAATACGTAGTATATATATACGTATATAGTTATAGGCATAAATACATATCAATGAAAATGTTAAAAGCATCACAATATTATATTATCCAATCAAGACAATATTCATTACATATCTTATGTGTCAAAGAGAAACTCAAATGGATTACAATATAATCAACGTTGCACAATTTGAAATAAATAGTACTGTAATATATCAAAATCGATAATAACATCAACCGATTAATCCTTTAAAAACTAGCTAATTAAATATCTCAGACTCTATACTCCAAGCGAGTTGACATCAAAATTTGGAATCATGGCAGACAATTTTGCTAGAATCAAATCCATCTTCTGTTTCTCAACTTCACGCTCCTTTCGCATTTGTTCTAGCTCAGCATCCTTTTTCTCATTTTTCTCTTCAATCTCCTTTCTCAAAGTGCTCATGATTGTCTCCATATCATTAGAAGTCATGACATGCGACTGATGCACGGTCTCTTTTGTATTAGCAAGGTCTTTCTTGGTAACACCTCTTCCACACATTATTGGACCACCACTTTTCTCCTTTGACACAACATCATACCCATCAACTGCAGCTTCACCTTCTTCATTATTGTCTTCCTCATAATTTTTCATTTCAATCTATAAATGACATATAATGATAATAATTAAACATTCCAGTTATTTGCCTCATAAATCTACATCTCAAATCTGCAAATGACATTATGATAAAGTATACCACCAAAAATCATTATCAACGTATTGTTCCATAGATTTTTACTCAAATTATTGTACTTGAAACAAAAAAAATTTATCTAACATATAAGCAAAATAAATTTCTCTTAAGTGTGTGAGTACCACAGACTGATGTAAGTAAACCTATATATATGACAAACTAACTACTCTATGAAAATCAAGCAATCACCATGATAAAGAGAGCAGAAAGATTGAAACTAATTATTGTTCCACAAGCACAAGACAATTGATACTACAACAGGATCAATAATGCCTCATAATTTTATTTGGCACTACAGAAACTTAAAAACCATTACTTTATCTTCACCCTCACGTATTATGGCATCAGATAGGTCCTAATTACTAGCATCCCCCTCTGCCTCAATTCCTTCCTCAATCTTAGGCTCAATTGGCTCATCCTCATGTCGTCCATCCATCTCATGTACATCATGTTTCAAAATCCTTTCTTGTTCTTATCTGAACTAATTGCTTGTTAATGGTTTGTAATTTAAATAAATCTTTATCCAAGTTAGTTTAATTTAGACCTTTCCTTTTCATATTCAAATTATAAAAAATAACGGAAGTAGTCAAAGTCCAATATTATGATATTCACAATCCAAAAAAAAACTAAATTCGTTTTACCAGGAAAAAAAGTTAAGCCATTTTTTATTAGATTATATTCAGAAAAGTTTTTATGCCTAATCATAAGTTTATTATATTCTAATAAACCACTTAGTAAGAACATATAGACTAATAAACCACTTCGTTTTAATAAACTAATGAAAGTACCACTTCGTTTTAATCAGTCTAGTGAAAGTAAAGTTCTTATGACTAATTCATAAAACTAAACGAAATTACCAGTAAGAACATAAACCACTACAGAAAAATAAATCTCAATTTCAGAAAAGTAAATTCCTAATCAGATTCAAACTAAAATAAGCAATTACTCAGCAATCCGTTAGATCTATATTCGTACGTGATGTGCTCCTAATTTACCATATTTACGATCTTGTTTTGTCACACTTTTAATACTTTATTTCTCATTTTTAAATAAAAAGGATTGATCTTTATCATCTTGGACATTTTAAGGTATTGCACTTGTTTTGGTATATTTTTGAGTTTCAGGATAATTCGGAACGTATATTAATTTCTGAAAAGAAATAAATATTACTCCCGAGTGAAGACGGAAAAATCATCAAAGTGAAGCGAGTCCTTACTTTATCTCCGAAATATTTATACAGAGACCCGAAGTTCATTTCAGAATAAATCAGACTGTCCACAATAAAATGTACCGGTTAACTGTTTGACCAGTTAACTGATCAAACAGCTAACCGGCCAAATAAAGAAGTGGCGAACAAAGAGCCAAGCTGACAACATTAGTCACTCCATTATTGTGAATAAGGCTCCACCGTAGAAGAAATCTCAAGAAGAAAACAAATTGAGATCAAATAATTATATTGCATCCACTTGGAACCAAAGCTGTCTTCATCATCTTTCATTAGCCGAACAGAGGAGCACAGCGGCCGACGAAGAAAAATGCACAACAGAACAGTGGCCGGTGCTATTTGCAGGAAGAAAAATGAGAAATTGGCAATCACATCTAGTGAAGATTGAAATCAATGGCCGTCCAAATTAAATGATCTTTATCTTCATTCGGAGATATTTATGAGCTACACCCTTCTTTTGCTACTATATAAAGGGGTTATTCAGGAGCTTCAAAGAACACACCAATTCGGAGAGAAATCTCCCTCTTCTTTCTTTAGCTTTGTTCATAGTAGTAGCAATAAAATAAAAGTGATTCTTTCAAGAACACTTTCTGTAAAAATTCAGTTTGTAATTTCCATTCCAGAATTTCAGTTCTATATATATTCAACAATAAAGTTCATTTGGAGATATCAGTTCGAAGTTAATCAGTTCCAGCTTAATCTGAGGATTTCAGTCTTTTCTGTTCCAGCTCTTCTATGTTCTTGAATATTTATGCCTTCAGGTTCTTATTTAAACACTACTTTAATTTCTTTAATCTGTTAATTTAATTATATGCCTAGCATGAATTTTTACTTCTATATTGTCTACTGTAATTATGTGTAACTAAATTAGTTTAGGTTTGGGCAAGATGTAAATTTTACTGTTAATGTTCATATGATAATAATTGGTTAAAACTTTTACTTGGTTAATTTTAGGGGTGTTGGGTTGAATGTTCTAATCTGCTAAATACATTATATTGGGAAATGAATATTATCACGAGAGTGGAGTTTCATTAAAAATCCCTTTAGTTAATTCACCCACTAAATTGCTACACGGAAGTGTTAAGGAATTTAGGATAATTTGATTTTGTACTTTTTACTGTCTTAATAAAATTACCGCGGGAGCGGAATTAAATTAAGATAGTGTAATCAACTAAGTCGTGGGAACGATTAGAAGATTACCATTTGTAAATCTTTCACACACCTAAAAGTAACCAAGTTAATCAGTTAAATCTTTATTATTTATGAACATCATAATAAATTTACGCTTAGCCCAAGCCTAATTTTCTCTATATCATTAATTGTTAAATTATCAAGTATTGTGATTTATTTTATTTCCTAGCAATTTCACATTTATAAAAACAAGATAAAAAATCTGTTCACTTAGCTCCATTGCAAAATGTTATCAATTTGTGATTAGCTAAAAATCAATCATTAATTCTAGTTCTCTTTTTGAGCCATTCTCTAGCGGAACGATACTCACTTACTCTATACTATATCGTTACAAGCCAATTAAAACATCATTTTCATTCACATTTTTACACCATTTCACACTACACATTTTGGCATGTCAGTACGAACATCCAAAAAGAACATAAATTGTAAAACTAAGTAGTACAAGATTGAGGTAAAAGGCGTGCCTGAGATAAATATGAACCGCGGATCAGAAGAACTGGCCGGCGATGGTTGAGTTTGCCGGTGTGGGTTCTCTGGAGCGAACGTGGTTCAGCGATCTAGAAGCAGACAAGTTTGTGGTCGCAAAAGCCAGAAGGAGGCGAGCTTTTGCCGTTGAGAAAGCCAGGAGGAGGCCGGCAAGCGAGCTGCGCAGGATTGAGAATTCTGATCGCAATAGAAAAAGGGCAACATGAAAATTTTATGTTGGCGGTGGCGTCAACATGAAAATTTTAATAGCGGGCCGGGACTATATTTTAAGAGCGTGCGATTAATAAATAATTCACAACTAAAACTTATTTAATTTTTATTTTTAGAGATATATGTTGCATAAGACTTAAACAAAAGCAACATTCCTAAGAATTGTTACATAAAAATCACCCGTAAATTTGTTTATTTATCAATTGCAACACTTAAAATATAAGTGTTGCATAATATTTAGTAACATGCAACACTTTGCAACAAGTGTTACATAATTTCATACTCCAAAGGTTTGAGCAACACTTATAAAAAAGTGTTGCATAATTTTAAATCTAAATGACATATGTAACACAATAAATAAATGTTACAAACAAAGTGTTACAAAAGATCAATTTTGTTGTAGTGTAAGATGAATTAGATTCAAATAGACGTGTTAGGTAGCAAAGGTGAAACCATGAAGGCAATTGGTGTGATAAGGTGTAGTGAGTTGGTAGGTAGAATATTATCATTATTAATCGAAATAGTCCATTTGGTCACTAACATATTGACAAATTGATAAAAAGAATATTATTGAAAATAATACACTTTTAAGGATTATAAAATAAAGAAATGACGAAAAAGAAATGGTGACAAACTCATTACAAAATATAGGTTATGTAACACCCCTACCGGGCCCGGAAGGCTAAGGCAGGGAGTGCTACCCCCAGTGCCGGAGCACCAAAGCGCAGAGTAGCTTTTCATTATCTTTTTCATTATTCCAAATTTACTTTTATTTAAAAAAAACATGCTAATGATAATAACTTTATGAAATATCATATTTGTGGAAGCATTCATATTTTATACATAACATGTAAGTGTTTGGTGCTGCTATTATATTATATTACTATACTAAATACATGATTAATATGTAGGCTAAAAATGTAATATTACTAATATGCAAGTGTGACTCTGTGCTGATTGGCAGGTTGCTCACAAATGCTTTTCTCCTTGAACTTTGCCTCGTAGTATGTACCTACGCAAAGGACAAAAATCCAATGCGCTAAACAAATCTTGTTTAGTGGTGTTCATTCTCTCTCCATACAATTTAAATATCAAATATCACATAATAAATCGACAATAAAAATAATCATGTATTGAAAAATATAAATTTCTCCGGAAGGATTTTACCAACTGAATATGTTTCTTTCAAGTAGCTATTCGACACATTTAACAACATCCGATAAAATAGCAACTCTTTAATTTTATTAAATCACGAATAAGATAAATTACAACTAATTCAACACTTTAACAACATATAACCCAGGTTTTATAATTAAGTAATACAATTCCCTTTTCATCCATTAATTATACAATTCAAATTGATCGGATTGTTGTTCCGAAATATAGAACTCCACTTTGTTCAAACTAATTATTTTAATATATCCTTCCTATTAGATTTAATATATAAAATCATAACTTTATTCTTTATTAATTTACCTCCTTGTCTCCCGTAGTCAACCTTAACTTATTTCAGAATAAATAATTCATGAGCAAAATCTAATCCTTCAATTGAATATAATATTATGTTAATATTATGTTCTCCTATCGTCTTTCGTTGTTAAATTCATATCATTCTTTCATTTTCATAATTCTATTTTCATATTTTCTCTTTCATTTATGGTCTCCGATTTCACAACTTCGTATCATATATAGTCAGCTTACATGAGCAATATCATAGCTCGCTCTAGTTCAATATTCCATTCCACTTTCTCATTATCTCACTTTAATTTTCATCTTCTCAGTTTTCATCTTCTGCTCATTTACCAGTGTCATTCTCTCTATCATTTTCCTTTTTCACACTTTTATTCTTTTATTAATATTTCTGGAATTCTACTCCTTAATTTAATGGACAGGATCAACGGGATGTTCTCATCTCTGGCACTATCCACTCGGTGGCTACGGACCATCAGAGAACTATTTCGGCACGGACCACTCGGTGGCTCTGGCCGGGGTTCGTTTGGGTACTGTCCACTCGGTGGCTACGGACCCGTAAACGAACATATTTGGGTACTGTCCACTCGGTGGCTACGGACCCGTAAACGAACATATTTGGGTATTGTCCATTCGGTGGCTACGGACCCGTATAGAAGTGCGTGTGTCAAATATCAAGATTTGGGTGCTGTCCACTCGGTGGCTACGGACCCGAAATCATTGATCAAATTCTACGGCCGTGTTTTTATCCCTATTGGGATGCCAACCTATCCGAATCCAGAAACAAGATTTCGAATTCCATTTATTTTTATTTATTTTCAATTAAGCATGTATGATTACTATTATGATTATCGGCTCTCATTCAAAATAACCTCTTCATATTCAACTGAAATATTACTTATATTTAAATAAATATAAGTAATATATCTGAGTTTGATAAGTTTTACATAACTTTAATTTCTAATATAAGTCACTGTAAGTATTCAAGCTCATGTTATTTTAAACAATAGCCTCTAACGTTACCTTGTATATATGTCATAGGATGAGATTTACATAATTATTATACGTAGTATTCAAATTTAGTTTGATCATAGGTAAACATGCATATAACTCCACGTATATGATTGATCGATTTTCTTTCATTTAATAAAATTGTTTTCTGTTATATTTCATCTAATTTTACAAGCAAAAACGTAGATATGATATATACTATTTCATTTTATTATTATTAGACTCAAAGTTATAAATTACGAAAATGTAGTCATATATCCCATATCATTTTCATTATTAGACAATCATTTAATAATAAGCTAAACTACATAAACGTCCTTTATAATTCAACACCTTTATATTTTGTTTCAACATTTTTTTTCCGTTCATTCCTTAAATTTATAGCATGTAACATGTAGGTCTCTAATTTTCAAGTAAATAATGTTATTCTTCAAAGAAATAATAGATCAACATGCAAATTAAAACATAACGCTGTAGCTAAACAGTATATTTAAGCTGAAATGCATCAATAAATTAAACCAATAACAATATAATTTAAATATATTTAGGAGAAGGAATGAACACATACCTTAATTAAACTTGTAGCAAGATTTTCTCCCTTTTTCCTAACCCTTTATTCACTTCTCATCTCCTCTCCTTTCATCTCTTCTCTTAGCCGTGTCCCTAATTTTTTTTCTTGTTCATAACATTGGCCGGCTAACTACAAGCTAAGGAAGTATTTCTCACTGTCGGCAATTGGACTTGCTACTCTATATATTTATCCTTAGCTTGATTTACACACTCCGTATTTATTAGTAATCAAAGCTACCTGTTTGTATTCATATGCATGCATGTGTGATTAATAACTGCATGTTACTTTTGTTCTTTTCTTTAGTGTCTGGCCATGTGTATTCACCTATGTATATGTGCATGCATTTCTTATACACGTGTAAGCATGCATATCCATATGTATTAATTTAATATATAGGATAACTAGGTGCATGTCCATATGTCATGCATATAGGTACTTAATAAAACAATTTTATAGTGACAATTTTATAAACAATTCACCTAGCCACTTGTCATATTACATTTGATCACTTTACTTCTTAGTAATATTATTGTTATTTTATACACCGTACCAATACATCATAAGTGTAATTTAAATTACTTAAACATCAATGGGAAATATTAATTTATAATTTTGGTTTTATAGTTTTAATTACTTATATGATTACTTTAATTTCAACTTTTAAAATGTGTAAATTTTGAGGATGTTACATTTCTTCCCCTCTAAAAAGAAATTTCGTCCCCGAAATTTCACTTTACTCGATTAGTTATGGATACTGGTGTATTATCATTTTTTGTGTGTGTTAATTGTCTAATGATTTATTCACCTTTTACAGCCTAGCTTTCTTGTGATATGGTTCTACGTACGAAAATTGATTAACGAGATATTTTAAAATTTTGAATTGCTTGATTTCTCTTATAGCCATCTTGACCAGTTTCTCCTCATTACGTATATGTCAAGGGTGAAAAGAAATTAAATATTGTGGCATAACGATCCAAACTATAAACATACTTCGTATAACGTACGCATCCTATCAAGATTTGTCCATCTAAAATTTTAGTGATGTGATCATTAAGTAAATAATAAATTTTTATGACTTTGATCCATCTTGTATACCGATCTAATTATAATGTCTAACAAAACCTTATAATTTATTTTTATCGTCACTATCCACTTATTTATTTACTGCATACGGAGTATTATCTATTAATATAACTATACTGTTTCATTTTTATCTACAAGTATTCAATAATTAAGTAGAAACATCATATGGCTGGATACATATCTAGGAATGTCATAATCACTATGACTTGGACATACTTCGTATATGATACGTATAGTATGAATGTTTGATATGATGGCTATGTCCAATTTTTAACATTTTTGGTTAGGAACTAACGAATCAAAATATAATTTTAGAGTCCTACTAGTCCTTAATTGGCTAACGTTTACTAGACGAGTTTTTTTTTTTTTTAAAAAAAAGGGAAAACTGTCAAATAAGTCCTCCAACTTTCATAAAAAGGTCAATTAAGTCCTTCTATAGGAGGTTCTGTCCGGCCGTCGTGATTAAGGACAGTTCCCGGTGGAATTTTTCGATGAAATTTTTTGAGCATCTTATTCACCAAGTCTAGTTTACTCATACCAAATTTCAGCTAAAAATTCAATTGGGAACACATTCAAATTAATTCTTGAAGATAACTGCGCATTTTTGCGTTCTCGAATTAATTTGAATGCGCTTCCGATTAAATTTTTAGCTGAAATTTGGTATGAGTAAACTACACTTGATTAATAAGATGCTCAAAAAATTTCATCAAAAAATTCCACCGGGAACAGCCCCAAATCGCGACGATCGGACAGAGTCTCCTATAGAAGGACTTAATTGACTTTTTTATGAAAGTTCGAGGACCTATTTGACAGTTTTCCCAAAAAAAAATATTAATTAACTAAATCGACAAGCTAAATTGTCTCAACTTATACGCAGTATATATTTAATCTTAAGGAGTATCGTACATTCAGTGTCAACAAGGAGCTATGAAAACTGAAAACCTTGTTAATTCATATCGTTATCCATTCCACTTGCCTATTTACTAAATAACTTTGTTATCTACTCAATATTTATAACTATAATATTTCATTTTTTTTCTGTCTAAAATTGAAATTACGTATTAAGCACTGTATTTAAGTAGATACATGGTTAGCTAGGAATATTCTCATATTCATCTTAACGTATGAAAGTTTGAACACAATAGCTATTTCTACTTTATGACGTTTTCTTTTATTTGGGCTGCGCAGCATGACAGTGTAATCTTAATATGTAACTTTTGGCTGAATTCTATTGTGCAAGTAGTTCATTTAATTTTTTCACTGCAAAATTAGATTTGTCCTCAACAAATTTAGTTATTAAAATCCTTACGAATTTAAAACACAAAAAATCTATTTGGGTATGATTAAAAATTCTTAGATCCTTATATATTTATCTAGCCTTATTCACAAAAATTATATTGCTTGCACTCGATCACTAACTTAACTTAATTTATTAATTAATCCTTATTATGTACTACTGTTTAAATTGTACACACGAGAAGTTATAGGGGCATGTGCCACGTTACCTACTTAAAATTCAATCCCTTGAGTGGGTATAATGTGATTTAATTCCGATTCCAATTGAAATGGATCATATCTATATACGACCTTAACACCGTTGTGTTTTTACTATTAGGTATTTTTTTTCCACGGTTTCCCATAATAGTTCATTCATAATACCGGTTAAGTGACTATTTGGTCTATTATTTTTGTAACTAGTTTTTTTTTGGGCCTATGGAAGCAACTTGGAGTTTGCCAACCAGTCACATTAACGTGCAAGTGAATGATCTCCTATCTTATATGCAATGCTTTTAAACCTAGGCTCTGATACCACCAAATGTAACACCGGCCCCCTATCCGAGCCTTCCGGGCCGGGTAGGGGGTGTTACAGGTTATTTACAAAAATGTGACGTCTTAAGTGTAGTAATTATAATTGTAATTTTGGTTATTAATGACATTGCATATGAGATGAAGGGAAACCGGCTGATTTGTTTTTTGATGGGAAAATGAAGTGTTGAGTGATGATGAAGCAGAAAAGTTAGTGATGAAAAATACTTTGTTGCTAAGAATAGGGAAAAGGTGCAAATAAGTTCATGTACTAACCAAAAAAGGTCAAATAAGCCCTTATTTAGGAGGCTCTGTCCGGTCATCTCCATTTGGGGTGGTTACCGGTGGAATTTTTTGATGAATTTTTTTGAGCATCTTATTCATCAAGTCTAGTTTACTCATACCAAATTTCAGCTAAAAATTCAATCGGTAAGGCATTCAAATGAATTCTTGAAAGTAACTGCGCAGTTAGAATCACAGTGATCTTCAAGAATTCATTTGAATGCCTTCCCGATTAAAGTTTTAGCTGAAATTTGGTATGAATAAACTAGACTTGATGAATAAGATGCTCAAAAAATTTCATCAAACAATTCCACCGAGAACCACCCCAAATGACGACGGCCGGACAGAGCCTCCTAAATAAGGGTTTATTTGACCTTTTTTTTGTTAGTACATGAGCCTATTTGCATCTTTTTCCCTAAGAATATGATAAAAGAATGTAAAAATAAGTTATTTGAAATTGCAAAGCAACTTCAAAAAGAGGCAGAACAGGGTATTCTCCAAGGGCAAAAAAATGCAGAATTACTACATGTGATAGAGAGAATGGAATTTTAAGTGAGTATGTGGACAATGAACACGAGATACACATTCCACCAGACAGTGAGGGGGTGTTTGGATCTGATTCTCTAAACTGATTCTGCTCCTTCAGGGAGCAGAAGCAGAAGCTGGAGTGTTTGGGTGAAATTCCAGAAGCACTTCTGGAGCTCTAATTTACTCTCAGAATCAGTTTTTTTAGAAGTTGTGAGGTACCAGCTTCTGAAAACTGATTCTGATTCTGCTTCTACTTTTAAAAAAGAAGCAGAAGCAGAATCAGTTCCAAACACCCCCTGAATAGTTCATAGTATGACGAAGAGAAAAAATAGTGCTCTTTTGATTCAAAATACGGACTTTGCAAAGTTTCAGTGGAAGTTGGGGCAAAGATTTATTACTAGGGGTGATTTTAAGAATGTTGTAGCCAAGTATGCAATCTTACAAAGTCAAAATTTGACATTTCCCATGAGTAACAAAAACAGACTACAAAGACAGGGGGTAAGATGTGTAAATGAGTGTCTATTTATATTGTATTACTCTTGGGATTCAAGAAGCTAGTGCAACATTTGTGGTGAAGTCAGTTTTAGGGAAGCACAAAATGTCAACGAAATATGAAAAAACGACTCAAGTGTCCATGAGTGGAAAGGTAGTTTCTTGATGTATTTAGAGCGACCCCACTGGCCATCCAAAGAGATCACAGAGACAGTTAAGAAAGCATACAAGGTAGTAATGACAAGGGATTTTTCTATAAAGTGAAGTTATATTCTCATAAACTGCTCCATGAGTCTACGCATGAGCACTATAAAAAACTTGAGAGATATTTGGAGGCGCTAAAGTTATCGAGCCCTAGGACTGAAATACATTTGGTGACTATGGGAAGCAACAACTTTCTACATCGATTTTCACAGGCTGTTCATTTGCTTTGAGGGGCTAATAAAATATGACAGAAGGATCAGTGTAGGAAGATCATATGTGTTGATGTCTGTTTTTTAAAAACTTTCCTGGGAGGACAATTATTATGTGCAATCGGGAGAGATGGTAACGAACAAATGTACCCAATTGCTTGGGCAATTGTAGAAAGTGAAAATAATCAATCTTAGAAATGGTTTGTCTTGCTTCTGAAAATCTGCCTCAGCTTGGGAGAAGGAGCAAACATAACTATACTATCAGATGAGCATCAGGTACAAGTATAATAATGTCTTATTTGGAACTACTTTTTGTTTGATCTAACAAAATGTTATTATTTTATAGGCCATTTTAAATGCAGTTTCCAAAGTTCTTCCACTAGCTGAGCATAGGCACCTTGTGAAACATATTTTTGCTCTATGACATAAAAATAATAGAAGGAATGAGTTTATACTGAAGTTTTGGAAGATAGCTAAACCCTATAACATTGGCTCATTATACTAATCCATTTAAGAAATTGGTTACACTAAATCTTGAGGCTGCCAA